TGAAGTTTATACGCACATAACATTTAGACCTCTGTTGTCGATGTCCATTAGTATATCAGTTAGTAAAGTACACTCAAACCTCTTAAAGTTTGTAGACATGTATACTAATTACTATTTTTTAAGGAAAAAATTAATTTTTTATTTTTTATTTTTTTCAATAAATGATACAATAGAATATGAATTTTTGTTGTAAAATTTAAAATATTTGATATTATATCTTTGATTGAAGTATTTTTTATTTAAATAAAATATTTTAAACTAAAAGAGTCTAAGTATTATATATTTACAAACTTCAGGAAATTTGGGTGTAGTTTACTAACGGATATACTAACAGACACTGACGACAGAGGTCTAAGCGTTATGCACGTATAAATCTCAGGGTCTGTGTGTAATATTCAAATGTCAAGAGTCTGAATAATTAATTGACAAATCTCAAAGGGTCTGGATATAATTCTCTCTTTAACTAATTATTTTTCTAGGAAAAAAAAGAAAGAAAGGAATCTTGGCTTTCATGTAGAAGATGGGTCTCTCTCTCTCTCCCCCTTAACAGAACAAAGATGGGTTGATATTTAAAAAGATATGTGACTTGTTAAAATAATAGAGGTTTTTGTTTAGGGATTTGAAATTAACAGGGGTACTGGAGCCATGATTTCTTCTTGAGGGGGTCAAATAATGGTATAACAAGATATTTTTTTTCAATGTGGATCATTTAATTAGATATCGTTAATATTATGACATTGACAATTTGACATGCATAGAATATATAAGCATCAACCTTACACGGTGTACTATAATTATTATTTTTAATAAAATGAATAAGGTTAATCGAAACTAGTTGAATTATTAGATATAAAAGTCAAATCAATTGCACCATTAATAATTTCTAAAAATTGCAAATTTATGCAATACCAAAATTTTATGATTTATGCATATTGTCCTAATTTTAATATTTAATAGTCCAAAGTGGTCTAATTAATAGTGAAGAGGATAAATAAAATCAAGATTATAATTTAATTTATAAATTATAAATTTAAGAATTTGAGTGGTATACAAAATATGGTAGAAATAAAATTTTAAGGGTGTAATGTATGATTTCAAAAAGTTGCTGGGGGCCATGGCTCCTCCACTAGAAATTGAAAGCATGAGGAAGAAAAGAGGGAGCTTTTTGAGCTTTACTAAGAGCCCGTTTGAATATTATGATAACTTTAGCACAATATATAGTTGTCTATTTTTATTGGGAATGTGAAATGATAGGATAAAGATTCCGAGCAATGCATATTCAAAAATTGTTCTAGTGTTGAGCAAATCAAGATTATTTTTCACGAAAGTAGTTATTATGATAATTTTAGAACAATAATTATATGTTTTTATTCAAAATGTTAGATTACCATTCGCTTGAAGTAGATAACAATACTAACTCTTTTAGGAGTTTTATTACGTAGAAGTGAAATTTTACTAAAATAAACGTCTATCTACCAACCAAATGAATAAAAAAAAAAATTAGATTCACATCGCTAATCTTGATCAATATTCAAAAGTAGGATTAATGTTCAAAAGTAGGACTAATATAGCAGAACTAATTATTGTCCGTGCCTTCAAAAAAAAAAATTGTCAATCAAACATATATTTGTGTTTATACTCAAAATCAAATCATAAATATAGAGGAGAGAAAAAATAATTTAAGTACCGGTTGTAGTGGTGATTAGAAACATTGATGGTTGTGGTGGACGATAACGATCATTGTGGTGGTGGCTACCGTGGGTGGTAACGGTGATGGTGATTTTTGTGTGATGATGGTAGCAGTGATAGCCATTGGTAACGATGGTAGTGGTGGTGGACGACGGTGATTGTGGTTGTAGTGGTGATGGGTGGTAACGATGGTGGTGGTAGGTGACGACACGTGCTTGTGAGCGGCGATAGTTAGTGGTGGCTCATAACGGTGGTGGTGGTGGTGGGAGTGGGTGACAGTGGGCGACAATAGTGGTGGAATGATGATTGTAGTAATAATAAATATAAGAATAAGATGATAATTATAGTGGGTGGCGGTGCTAGGGTGGCGACGACAATGGTGGTAGTGGTGGTGATGGTGATAGGACTGTGGGGGTGGTTGTGGTAGTGGCAGTGGTGGGGGGTGGCGGTAGCGGTGGTGGTGGCGGTGGCGGCAGTGGTGGTGAAATGTTTTGTAGAGAAGTGATTTTAAAGAAGTAGAAGTAATTATTATTTTTTTAAAATTTTTACTTACTTATTTAAGTGGTAAAATTATTTTTGACTTATTTGGAAGTAATTAAAATAAGTTGTTCCAAAAATTAATTTTTTTTATTTTAAAAAAATATTTATGAGAAGTCATAAGTTCTAGAAATACTTTTGAAAAGTCATCTCAAACACATCCTTAGAGAATTTATTTTCTCTATTAAATTTTAGAGAGTTAATATTAACCGTTGTGTTAAATGAAAATGAAAATGAAAATTAAAATTTAAAACAATTTTAACTACAAAAAACAAAAATTATTTTTTATATTATATTTTATTATATAAATGGGACAGGTCCATAGTTCAACAAAATTGTAAAAATAGACATAAGGACAAAGCCATAAATATCATAAATTCCTGGAGAGAATGGAATGTTGTAAGAGTAAATGCATGCTACATTTGCAAATCAGCCTTTTTGAATCATGGCTATGTACATGCGCATGCATAACATGATGATGGCATCCCAATGATTGAAGAATTGGTGGTGGTGGATGTATCATGGCAATGGGTTGCACTAATATCAATAGTAATAATTAAAGTTTATATGCAAAACTAGAATTGCACAAAAAGTCATATTTGATCAAATTGAAGAATAATCTACTATGCTAATAGAATTCTCAAAGAAGTTGAAGTCATTCACAAGATGAAAAGATTATATTGCTCATATGTTACTACATCTCGATGTGTTTGATATACTCACTACTTTTTCAGCCACATTCAATTACTGTTCTATGATTTACAAAACTAAGATTTTCAAGCTTAGAACTTAACACATTTTTTCCTATTAGTTTGGGTGACAATCATATTCACCATACATAATTATTTCTCGTGTTTTTTTGCACTCAAATGAGGTGGGGGATTCATGTAAAGCAAACTAGCAACTAAAAAATCTTAGAAGCAAGGACGTTTCACACGAGTATTTGGTTAGTTCAATGAATAAGATTATTGGGCTAGCTCATTTAAGAATAAGATGCCACTGTCCCGTGGCATTCTCATCCTAATCTTGAATATAGTACATTAATTGGAATCCTAAAGCAATCACTACGGGAGAAAAGAGGGAATGGTCTTTTCCCTAAAAACAACTGTATGTAAATTAAAAACACTAGTTACAAACTTACCTAAAAGACGCTCTTCCTTATCACATTACAAGCACTCGAAGAAAAACAAGCTACAAGCCAAATAATAGACAAGAAGATTGGACTATCCATACAAAAAAAATTATGTTTTTTTTTCTCCATGATTGTTTGAGACTGCATTATGGTTTATTGGCCCCATAGTACTATTGGGCAATGAAAACATTTTTGGCCTTAGCCTCTTATGATCATTAGGTAACCTAAAGTTTGAAAAAGTTATTTGCAATCAGTTATTCGCTTTTTTCTTTTTTTGAACCGCCAAGTCAAAAGTAGGTAACTGAATTACTGTCACTTATTAACAAACATAAAGTAACATACTTTTTTTACAATAAAATTAGTCAACTAAACCATCATTGTTGTGGACAGATTTTCTAAAGCTACCTCTCCCTCCTTGATATCTTCCTTCATTTCACACATTAATATCTAACTAAATGCTCATTATACTTAAGAGAGAGATTATGAACATATTAGTTTACCAAGAAATTGGTTAGATTTAACGAATTTTTTTTTATTTTTTATTTGTGCCTATACTTGTTTCGATTACTCCATCAAACTCTGAGTTAGACATCATAATTCGAGTTAGTTTAATAACATGGCTTTTGAAAAACAAATTTGAGAAATATCGAACTTGAGACCTCTTACTTATAAGAGGACGGACTTGATCACTAAACCGCCTCTAATATAGCTGATATGGTAGAATTGAAGAGTTATTGACCTAGAAAATTGGTTGACACATGCCAAATAACAACAACAATCGCTTAAAACTACGAGACAGAAAAAAGCTATCGAATATAACACTGATGTGACACTGACCTCCAACACTAACACTCAAATATGTTCCATATAAGATTTAGATTAAGTTATATGTCTCGGTTTTGAGAAGAATAAGAATGTTATACGATTTTAGTAGATCGGTACCACAACCTTGAAGTATGATAAAATATCCCACGTGACTAACAGAAGTATAGAACAGAAAACAGAATTGTCGGTGCATTATAATGTATGATTCCATTACAAACTTGAACATGATAAGGGACACAGGTGTAAAGAGCACAGCCAAACAAGCTGGATGATAGTTTGCTTGGTCACAGAACAATACAAAAGATCCAAGCAAAAGACAACATCGTATGCCTGTGGATGCACCCATCCCTCTATTCACACATTTCCTAACCTCCACAACATCAAAGATTCATAAACTTATTGCACTTTCTGAACTATCATTCCTTGAATAATGCCAAAAAAAAACACGAGAGACAGAGAGCTCATGGTACAGCTAGTTAATTTGTTGGCAAAAAAAGAAAACAGCTTGGTTTGGTTGTACAATGTCCTAAAACAGCCCATTCACCTCTGACTGAGGTAGCCATAGGATGGTTTATGGATTGCTTCTTTAACATTGTTCACTACTTACTATTAAACTTTTTCAAGAAATTGATAATGAAAATCGTAAACTCAAGCTCTCACTTAAACATATACATCAGTGTATAATAGTATTAACTAGCAATACTTCTAAACTATATGGACTTGTCATCCTCCAATTTTCATTAACAGATAAAACAAAACACCTATAGATAATTTTTTCTTATTAATTAATGATCTAATATTTCTTGAAATATATTAACTTGCACTAATTATAGTCTTGAAGATCTCGCAATTTCGATGAAAGAAAAACTTCTTACAACAACCCTTTTTCACCTTCATTTTCTTTCTTTCATTGATCAGAGAATGAGCGAGCACAAAAGACAATACAAAAGAAAAAAAAAATAAAAATAAAAATGAAAAACCATATACAGTCACTTAACAACTAATGACAGTTTTCATTATCTATAACAGCACAGAGATTAACCTAATTGACCTACTTTTGTCTCATAATTTTAACAACTCATCACGGGGTTGTCACTTTAGCCACGAAACTATTAACCAAAGCAAGTGCATTACTGGTCACCTCCCTCACTCTCACAACCCTATCACAGACGTCTGATTTCAGGGACCCATCAGGCACATCGTCAAATCCGTCCGTACAGGTGTCCTCATTGGTTAAAGCTGCACTCATCCAAGTCTGAACGTTACTCATTTGAAACCTCAGCGACTCGCCGGAGCCTCCGAGCTGGCGCATCTGCTTAAGCGAACCGCGAATTTGGTCCACGGCGTCGCCGAATACAGAGAAACAGTCGTGGAGAGCAGCTGCAGCTCGAGGCTGGTCTCCGTAGTCGGCTCGGCGGGTGAGGTTGGCGACGTAGGCGGACATGTGGCGGGCTTTGGAGAGGCTGACTCCGATGGCTACTCGAGCCAACCGAGCGGGGTCTTGTTGGACAGCGTTGGCGTAGCCGGAGAGGGAGGTGTAACAAAGATCAGGGTAGAGAGTTGTTTCGCAGCTTGTACGGATGAAATTGGTGTCGGTGGTGGCATCGGTAAAGGTGGTGGTGGCGGCGGTATTGTAGTAGTATCCGACGGTGGCGGTTGGGCAGAGGTGGAGGAGTAAGGCGGAGAAGAGGGTGGAGAGGAGGGAAAGTGGACGTTGGTTCTTCATGTTTGAACTTGTTGGAGAGAATGCAAATTCTTTTGAGGTTCGGACTTGGGATTTTAGAGGTAATAATATGGAGTATTTAAGAGCTTAAATAGGCTCGATGTTGCTGTTTAATGACCTTCATGCCCTCAATATTCTACTAAATTACTAGGATGCCATTGCCACATAGGTTAGTTTTAAATCTTTAGAGAAAATTTCATCTACACACCCTATAGAATATCTTATCTTCAGTAAGACCCCTTGTATTTTTTAAAATTTCACTGACACCTCTCGTCAGTGTTTGTCCCCTAACATAGATAACAAAAGTGTCTCTTTTCTCGATTTACCCCTTATCTTTATATAAATCTACATGGTAAATGTTCTTATTTATTTATGTACACATACTTAAATGTCCCCTCGTCATCAACTCTAGCTCCTATGCAACCATTCTATGGACTCCCAGCTCATTCGCCACCCTACCCAACCACACCCACTCCCACTTCCAATCCCACATCCTTTTCGACTTTTCACTCCCAATCATTTTCCACACATCACATACCTTTTTTCTGTAATGTTGCATCAAACTCAGAGTGCACTTCCAAGTTGGATGAATTGGAGTTCACCATTAGAAAGGGATTTTGTTTGGATGATTAAGCTAAATACTTGTATATTGTTAATCAAAATTTCTTCAATCCTCATTTTTCAATTTCAATCCTTAATCTCTAGCTTTGGGTGCAAAGTTGGAGAGATTCATTGGAATAGGTTTATAGCTTCAAGTTTGCGTGTAAAATTTGATTTCTTTGTTTGCCTCTTGGATGCGACCTAAGATGTCTCAAATTGGATTAGTTTATTTTTTTACCTCCTCTATCTCTTCCAAGAATATACTAGGGTTTTGGTTGAAGTGAGTTTTTTCATGATACGTCACTATCCCCTAATGCTTTGGCAAATTGACTCCACTCGGATTTCTATAGGAAATAAAATCTGAGTCCTAAGTTCTCTGAATACGGGATCATATAGTTACATCGTTGATGCCATCGTGAAGCTCGTTCTTAAATGTGATCGCAACTCCGCGAGGATCTACAACGACACTTTAACTTGCATATCTATTCTTAATGTGAATCACCATCAACGGAATTGATCACAAATTATTAGAAGTTTAAAAACTTTTTTCCACATATTAGCTAATCAAGACTTTGATTTTTTAGAGTATTTTTGACCTGAGGTAAGAATTGAAAGTTTTCATGATGGATTTGAGATGTATTTGTGTGGCCTAGGGGCATTTGTTATATGTGTTTTTTGGTGTTGGCATTGTTTTCATTCCCCGTGAGAATAGGATTTTAATGGTAAGACTATGATGGTAACGTTTGTGGTGATTTGTGTGGATTGCTTCTAGGAAAGGATTTGGAAGAAGGGTACAATTAGTATTTAAAAAATATATAGACATGACACCACTACTTTCTAGATTCTCAGTAACAATTGGTTATGATAGGGATCTTGATGAAGTGGACACATAAACTAGAAAGGATTGTAGTGAAATTTTATAAGATGCAGGGGGTCTCATTGAAGATAGGGTAATTTAAAGGAGGTGTGGATAAATTTTATACAAATGTTTAAGAGTTTAAATTGAGAATTAAAACATCTGTTAGGGTACAAAGTGAAATTAGTTCTTAATTTTTAATTTCTTTATTTTGACCATAATGACCATAATAATCATGCACTTATCTTAAAAAATGTTGCAGAAAACACGTGTCATGCTACAAAAATTAAATTTTATACAAAAATCATAAAAAAAACAAAATCCATCAATGTCATGGTATATTAAAAACTGCACTGCCACATTATTTTATTACAAAATTTTATAAAAACATTGATATATAAAACATTATTTTTGTCGTAATTTTAACACCCCCTACTTAAAATAATAATTTGATAGACTTAGGTAACCTCTTTTATCACATGCGGCTTTGGAACTCAATCAATGGGACAAACGAATGACGAAGGGCAGGTACCACTTTGTTCATATCCCCATTTTTTCATTGGTCAGAGTTACCATGTCTCCAAGTAAAAATCGAAAAGAATTAGCATAACCTATAATTATTTTATAATTAAAAAGAAATCAAATTGGATGGGAGTAATTAATTCCACCTGGTGGGACCTCACCCGAAGTGTAAGAACACGAGACGTGCACATTTTGTACGTGACGTTTGTCTGCCATGTAGAGAGAAAATATTAAATGTAACGATGCTATCGCATTATCGTTTGCAAGTGATATCATCAATCAGTTATAGAATTTATCGGTGGCACGAGGGTGGGTTGATGGTCTAGGTGATTATTAAGGATCGTCGGAGTTTGTATTTCTATGCATTTGATCCTCCTTAGAATGCGCAATAACAATGATCTTATGTACGAATTATCCTTTTAGATAATCATTAAGACTAATTAGAGTTGATGTAGCTTTAGTCAAAAAAAAAAAAAAAAGGAGAAGGATACAACTATGGCACCAAGTATAAAATAATTTTTCTTAATTATAGATGTTATATTTTGAATAATTGATGGTAAAAAAAATAAAATTATTAAAAAAAAAAAAAAACTTCGTAGTGTGATTGGATAAAAATGTCGATGTCATAGTCTTAAGCAGACTCTTGCAGCCAACCGTCACGAGTCACCACACGAGAGGCATCTTATGGGCCATCATCCTTATCTCTCATGTGAACCAAGGCGTGACACACTCTTGATTTGTCTTTCCTGTGGTTATGGCTTGTATGAACGTTGGACTTTTTTGTTTTCATTTTTGGTCTATTTTTTTTTCATTGCAATGACATATTGATAAAAAAAAATTTAAGACAACAAATATGGACTAAATGACGTGACGGCTAATATGTAAAGTAAAAATTGGTTTTTAAATTAATAAAAGTGGGACCAAAATTGGTTAGCGGTTATGTAGAAGTTTTGTTCTGGGGAGAGTGGAGTGCGTGTATGACGTAATTTCAAACTCAACCTCAAGGATTTGTCCAAGAAATTCAAAAAAAAAAAAAAAAAAAAAACTCTATGTAACCTCATTTTTGGTAAGTGACACAAATACACGTGGAGCCTACGAATTCATGTCGAATTATGTTACTCAAATAACTAAAGTGTCTATTATTAAGTAAATTAGTGAATGAATTATTGAGTAAAACAATCTATTTATTTGCAAATTTTAAATCTCACTTTTGAAACTTAATCCCATAGATTTCATCAAACCGTTATTTGAGGGTTCTAATTGACTATTGTTAGCGGGCTGAGATTCAAATCTCAGACATCAAATCTTGAACCAAATATAAGTTTAGAAGGTGCATTAGACTATTTTTATAAAACTCACTTTGAATTTCACCCAAACCCATATAACAAACACACCCTTTATGTTTACCTAGTGTATAAGTTTCTTGTCTATGGCATGATGTGTAATAAGGTATGTAATAGATAATCTTATCTTCCTTCTGAAAATACTAATTCTTAGTCTAGAATATCCAATCTATTGCTTGGATAGATAAACACCTATCCTGGTTTAAAATCTCTTCGCCAACTATTTAATATGAGCAGCAAGCGAGAGAAAGAAAAAAAATGATAATATCACATAATATAGTATTGATATAATATCACTGAATATTTTCTCGTAATTATGATGGGGAACGCGCGTGCAGTTGCAAAGTAGAGAGCCCCTTCATCATGACCGTCTATTTCGGTTGGCTTTCCATTTTGCGGCTACTAGTGGTGTATTCCTCTTGAGGAATTAACGGGCGGATGATGCTAACGTGGACCCACTAAATTATTTAATCTCGCAATAACTTCTTTTTTAATTTTAACCAACCCTCTCGAATCCTAAAATATCAATATTGCCCTTTAATTCTTTCAAGTAACTAACAAACTCCTTTAACGAATATAACCATCTGCTTCTCTTTTTCACATGGGTAATTTGCATATGCAGAGGCGTTTACGAAGAGTTATAATAAAGGTTAGTTTAGTGCCACATGATACAATTTGATAGCTTCACACAATTGATCAGACGGTGTATATAAATATTGGGCCCACTCAATCGTGCATATTTTTGCTCGTTCTTGTATGGTGATAGTGGCATTGTAGCCGACACACTTTTTTGTAGGCGGTTTGTGGGATGGCGGTGGTGGAATTAATAGAAGCCTTTTTTTCTTTGTTCTTTGTGACCTAACACTTCATCTCCTCAAAACTCCCGCGCCTGCAATGGTGTTGCTACTTTAACAGATAGTGGAACTCAACAACATAACTACCATCGTCATTATATAATTTCTCAGTCTCCACTACGTAAGAACGGAAATGATGGTGAAGAAATCTTGAGTAATCTGTAAAGTAATTGGTGATCAGAGGCAGTTAAAGGGGTTCGGGTTTGGATTTAATGTCCTTACTTGGTACTAGGAATGAAACCTGTAAACCTTTTATTTATAGTAGTAGGAAATTGTATCTCAAAAAAATTGAAACTCTAGATTATGATAAAATCAACCTACCACGAGCCCCTCAAAATTCGGAATAGTATTAAACTAGGACTCTTTACTCTTCGGTGTCTTTATCACAAATTCTTAAATATTTGAAATAGTATCATATTAAGATTGTTGAATAAGACTTGTCTAATGGAAATGTGAGAGAAAGCTAGTACTGGCTAAGTGGAAGTAAGCTGGGTGACCCTTATGTGCTGTTTGGTAAAGGCGCACGAGGGGTTTGGTCAGATGGGTTTAGAAAAAATAGTTTAAATGACTCTCAAAAATCATATGTTTGAATTGAAAATTCAGTCCCGGATTCTTAAACTTGGCTCGTAGTTGAACTGAAGATTAAACTCAGGATTATGAGTTTTGTCAAAACCCTAAGAGGGGGTGAGTTTGGACAGATGGGTAAGGGGTTAAGGATGCAAAAAATAATTGTACTCCTTAATATGAGTATAAATTAAATTGATTAAGAATAAAATAATTATTTATAGGACAAATAATTATTAATAATTATGATATATCTGTGAGTCCTACATGTGTATGTGTTATATGTCAAATATGTATATGGATCGAATTAAATA